AAAAAAAAATATTACCCTTAATATAATAGATTCCTCATTTTGTAATTCAAAATATATTTAAATTATAAAATAACCTTTAAACAGAGAAAGAAAGCCCAATATCAAGGGTCTTCCCCAATTTAAATATCATTATTTTATAGTACAATTTAAATTATAGAGTAGGTTTTATAATATAATACCATTTCCTTGTGTTATGAATATTGTGAAAAAAAGTAATAGCAAAAGAAAAAGATAGTATTGTGAAAAAGTTTTGGCTTGAAAAATGAAGATAAGAGAAGGGTTGCATCCAAGATCCAAGTTTTGATGCTGTATTTCTGCATGCAACAATTGGAACTTTTTATCTGCATGCAGCCACGTCTCTATCCAAGTCATCACAAACCACTCTGGTAGATCTCCAAGTGTACTAACCACTCTGGCAGATCTCCAAGTGTAAATCCATGGCACCTATCTTCCCCTTTAAGAACCTGTTCCCAATGACTCACCAATAAACGAAAAATTAATTTGCTATGGAAACAGAAAGTGCAGCAGCAGCAGCAATGGAGCATCTCCCTTTGAAGATGAGAGTGATGGCAGCCATTGATGAAAGTGATGAGAGCTTCTATGCCCTCAAATGGGCTCTAGATAACCTTTTCAGTTTTATCAGTTCTACTGCTCTGCCGGAAACCGGTGAGAAGTCAGACGGCCTCCTCACTGTGGTCCATGTTCAGGAACCTAACCATCACTTTGGCTTCCCTGCTGCTCCAGGAATTCAAGGTTAGAAAATATCACTTTACCAAAAACATGTCTTTAGTTCATGGAACCCTCCATTTCTTTCTTCCCTGTCATTTTCTCATCTATATGTGCACAATATATCAACCTTTTATGCTGTTTGTACTTGTTTCATCGTATCACTGAGTTTCCCTTCTACAGCATATTATCCACCATCTGAAGTAGTGGACTCGGTAAAGAGAGCACAAGAACAAAAGTCTGCAGCTATACTCAAAAAGGCATCAGAGATGTGCAAAGAAAAAAGGGTAATTTAACTCATTGATTTTTTTGTTAGATAGACCATGCAATAGGAAATAGCCCTCCCTTAATTAAATTGAGAGGAACATAATGTAAAAATAGATGGAATAATATCCAAAAATGTTAAATTGTATGCAGATCACAGCAAAAACTCTGATTCTTGATGGGGATCCAAAGGACATGATATGTCAGGCTACAGAGCAAATCCATGTTGATCTTCTTATTGTTGGCAGCCGTGGCCTAGGAAAGGTTAAGAGGTGACCTCGAAAACTTCTGCCTAATCCAGTCTGGTCTGTACATGTTATCCTCATCATATGAGTGCTTTTGCTTATTTGTTTCTTGGTGAATGCAGAGCTTTTCTAGGAAGCGTAAGTGACTACTGTGCTCAGCATGCAAGATGCCCAATCCTTATTGTGAAGCCACCAAAGGAAGACAGCAAATCGGGTTGAGTAAATCAATGCAGAGTTGGTGCTTTGAACAACGCAACCATGCAATGGTTATGTTTGTTTGTGCAGTTCAACTCTTTAAACTTCAACTTCTGTAACAATGGATAATTTGAATTTTCTGGGTTCATCAATTTATGGGTTCATTCGTTTGTCAATGCATTCAGGGTACAAGAAACCACTACGTTTATGATTAAAATGAAAAAAATAAAAAAATGTAATTCTAGCGATCCACTATGATATGATTCCAAAACTGTGAGAACACTACTTGCAATGCAAGCAATGCACTAATTCTCCGTTAAATACAAGCACATATAGAAACCAAAACAATGAATGCGCCCTTCAAATTGCCCGAGGGATTAGTCTTGAGTAACTCTTGAGTTACAAGCAAGCCGACGTAGGGCATCCCAGCCCGCCCAAACCATAAAGAAACAAGAACCATGATACGCCTTTCTACACTAAGCCTTGGGTTTGTTGTGCTGGCTATAGTTCCCAAACTTACGTGAAACTGTTGCATCGGATAATGTATCCCAAACCTGCATCATATCCAGAGATATTAGTTTAGTCTTCCTACATTAACGATACTTAAAAGGTGTATAGTGTGGCAAAACTTGCAACTCACTTGTAACTTCCCCTTTGAGCCCCCAATAGCTAGCAAAAAGGGGTTGTCCCCTGAGAAGGAAACGGAGAAGACGGCTCCCTGGTAGCATTCAGTTCAGAGGGTCAGAAGCTACATCATACAAGATAAACTAAATACAGGGTTTTCAAATGCTTCTGCCAATTGCTTACTGCTTTAGGATTCTGGGATGCGACGCATGATGGTTGGTTGTTTGACAAATCCCAAAGCTTTACCTGCATAAAGTAAGAAAACAATCCAATGAATACCCATAGTTTGTTAAGAGCTTGCCAAGTATGGAAGGAGAAGCAGAAAATAGTTGAATTATTACCATTTTATCTGTTGATCCAGTTGCAAGAAGCTGTAAAAAAACCCAAAGGACAACGTTACAAAAAGGTTATCAAATAATCCGGCAGAGGAATATGAAAGAGATGTTTTTACATTTGGTGCTACAGGATTATACGATACTGTGCAAACAGCTTTGTCATGTGCATGGAGAGTAAAACTTGGTTGGGACTCGGAAGATTGATCAGACTTGGCAGCTCGGATATCATAACCTCTCACTGTACCATCTTCAAGACTCACCTAATCAAAACAGGAAATAATTAATCCTACTTTCACAGATGATCCTGCTTTATCTCTGTTTAAGACTTTAAGAATGAAGAAAAAAGCCTCAAATATTTGAACTAAGAAAATAGCCCAAGCTAAAAGGTTAAAACACACACCACAAAAGAGTGCTCCGTATGTGGATCCCATGTTAAGCTTTCAACATCAGCCATGACTGACCACCTAAAACCAGAATGAGAAGGTACCCTTCCATCCTTCTGCAGATGTGCAACCATGGGGGAAAAGAAAAAATTCTCAAAATTGCAGAAAGAACTAAGAAAACAAAACTACCGCTTGGAAGAAAACATGTGCATAATGTGGCATGTTGCAGTACATATAAATTTTAATTACCATGACAACAGAACGATCAAAAGATCCACTAAGAAGAACTTGTGGCACATGATGGTTCCAAGCAACTGCTTGCACCTGTGAAGATAAGGACAGTAAATTTAGACTCACTGCAAAAAGAAGCATAAAATTGAATTATAATTGACAACTTATCATTAAGACTGCATTTTTGGAAAAATAACATTGTTCATTGGCACAGTTCATATTTCTGCAGCATCTTCATTGGATAAGTGCATTCAAAACTAGGACAACACTCAAAAAGGCACTACTTTTATAAGATTAAATGTCACTTGATTTATGAAGTAAATGGTGGACCATTGTTCTTTCTCAGATGCATCCAAAAAATGGGGTTTCAAAGTAGACCATTAGCAAGTTCAAAAGTTTATGATACCAAAAAAGGTACAAATCCCCGCTGGGGCAACAGGACAAGGATAACACTTGCCAGGTGATACTCAAGGGCTGTACCACCTCAATTCTTGTTGCCCTCATTTTGGTCATTCCACTAGTGTAAACCAAAAACTTCACAGCATATTGGCCCATATCAAGAAGACACAGCTTCTGAAGTGGATAAGCTCTGCCCCTTAAAGATAACATTAATCCTATAGATTCAGGGTCATTTAAGTATCATTGTCTAAAGTTGACACAAAAGAAAGAGGTTTTCATAAATTGTGAAACATCAGTTGTAAGTTTTCAAATTTTTGGAAACCAGAAGCACAATTATATGGGTTCCCATAGATGGTTTTCAAATTTTCAAAAAGAGCAACCAAAAACCGGAAACTGCAACTCTAATCAATAGTCCATTAATTTTCCTAAACTTTTCAGTTAAAGATTTGGAGTTCTAACTTAAATCAATGAGAAAGTACAAATAGAGGAGTTTGTTAACTGCATCATTCAAATTTGAGAAAATGATAAGTATATAAGTGTGAATAAGGTAAAATCTTGCCTTGTCCTGATGATGTTCCATGGTAATGTCACATTTTCCAGCAGCCACATCCCATATCTTAACTTGTTTGTCAGCACTTGCACTTGCCAGTATATTCCTATAATATTTAACAAGAAGGTAAAAGAAATAGAGCATAAATCCACCTAACTTTCTCCAAAACGAGAATAGGTAAAACCAGATACCAGAAATATTAAACAAACCTGTACTCCTTGTTCCAAGCGAGACCAAGTACTGCACCAGTATGACTACCTTCCTTGTATTTTAATTTCTAAAGACAAAGCACAAGGGAGGAAGGAAAATAAGAAAAAAGAAATTACTATTAAAATTTTCTCAACTTCAAATGCATATGATAAGCTTTTAAATAACGTAGTCAAAAACACAATCTGCATAAAATCTCAACATATTATATGTAAGCTAATTACTGTGAATAGGTGAGGGAAGGCAGACAAATAGAATTCAATTGTGAATTATGAAAGGCAAGATTGCAAGAAAAAGTAAAACTATAGCAACTGGTGATTACAGGGCCCCAATTCTTGACTGGAGGAACCTAAAAGCTCTAACCTTCATCTGTACAACCCATCACTGCCTAACAGCCAAACTTCTAGTTTGTTTCTACTTCCTTGCCCCTAGAGGTAAGTTTCCAATGGAGAATCCACTAAGACATGAACATAAAAAATGTGAAAATGCATTCCAAAAACAGTTAAGAGTCATGATTCAAAATGCCAACTTTTGTCCAGAAATCTTCTAAAGCCAGAATGACCATTTACAAAATAGACTCTGAAAATAGCTCTGATGATATTCATATTTGTTGGAACAATCTATAAAAATAAGTGAATCCAAAACATCTGACAAATATATGTCAAGGGAAAACAAATCAAATTGACAATATATCATCTGGTTCATGGACTATAGTTGGCTGGTAAGTGGAAGAACCCATCTTCGTTCTTTATATTATTGTTAAGAATTTTTGCATACAAGGATAAGCATGTTCCAGATTTGAAGGTTGAAGGCACTAAATCTAAAAGCAAGTCAGTATCATACTTTCTTTCCTTTCTTATTCTTCTTTTCGTCAGCACCACCTAAAATCATGCATGGTTGTACTTCATCAACCTGTAAAAGGAAAAAATGTTAAAAAGAGATATCAACAATAACATCCCATAATCATAAATGACAAACAACCATGATCCACATACAACGTCAAGATCCCATATTTCAATGGAAGGTTCCATAGAGCCAACAGCTATGAAATTCCCTGCCAACACCAAAAGCACCCAGTGAAAAACAAATAATATTACATATCCTGCTAAACATTGACAATATATGAATTGACTTTTTCTCCATTTTAGGACTTGACAGACAAATGACAAACAAACACCAAACTACCCAAAGTATTTTTAGTTAAATCCCTATGAAACTTGGGCACAGGAAAACTTATCTACAAACTAAAACTTTTTTAAGGGAAATCATATACAAGTGGCTGACCTTTTTCTCCCCCCTTAATTGGGCAGTCAAGCCATGCTGTGCAAAGGGGAAAAGCTGAGAGGATAATATCATGATGCACATACATATTTGAATCAACTTCATCCGTTTCCTCATAGATATAAACCTACTCAAACACAATGAGGCCCTTCATGAATACCAAAGATATGGTCCATCTCATTACTTGATAGACATGAATACTGAACATATACCTCAAGATGGCTGACATCATCTTCATTCCGTGCACAGACAATGACAGCATCCATTGGTTTAATGGCCATGTCATCAAGATCTTCTGAGTCATCATCATCCTAAACAAATTATGTACTTCCTTAATAACACAAATAAGTCTATAGAAACCACAAAATAATATGAGAGAGTGATTATCCTACATTCTTATCATTTAGATATGGGTCCATCTCATTACTTGGGTAGTAAAGGTCACCAAGCCCTGAGCTAAATAGTTCAATACCTGACATCAACATTGAGTAAATGCAACATTAGATACATGTGAAACATGCAAACAATGCAACACCTACATTTGCCAGTTATTTAAGTCAATTTATATGAAAATGATTCAAGCTTCATTCTGTTTAATAGTTTGAAAGTCAACTTAAATCACATCCCATACATCAAAACAAGAATGAAATAAAGTTAATAGCAAATAAAACCAAAAGATGAAAGAAAATAAAGAAAAAAGGCCCAAGTGGAGAAACCATCATCCTCTTCATCATAATGGTCCATGTCAAGTTCCTTCAAGCCATCAGTAACATCTTCCAATTGGCTCCCTGACTTGTTCTTGGAAGTACTGCCAATTGCTTCAGCTACAGCTACTGCATGAGCCACTTGATCATTCTCCTTCTCATCCTCAACATTCATAGAATCATCTCCATCCTCACTGCCACCATCCTCACTGTGAAAAAGGTAAACAGGCCAAGGGTGTGAAATATAACAAGAGGCTGCAAAAATAAGCAGCAAATAACACAAAAAAGGGGACCAGAAAGACAGAAGAATAGCCAAATATTACAACACAAAAAACAAAAGGGAAAAGGAAAAGCTGACAAATTGATAAAATAGCTAAGTTATTTGCTTACCCCTTCATCGCCAAGGAGAGAAACAAATCTGGGTATTTTATTCAGCACCAGTAAAAATAGAGAAACTTATTGAAAAGAGATGAAGGGAATGGAAGAAGCAAAAGAATCACCTTTGCTGCAGAGCTCCACTCTTAATCAGTTCTTCAATTTCCTCCTTGGAAGGCGGCTCAGCCACATCAGGCACAGGCTTTGAAACCCCTTTGGGGACCCATGATATCGCTGATATCATTGTTTACCTGCAATACAGAATTCAAAAAATCCGCCATTAAAACAAGAAATTTTGAGATGGGAAGACAAAATGAAAGAAGAAATCACTAAATTAAGGCTAAAAGTGTAGCCACCTGAATTTGGATTTTGCTGCGACCAGAAAATCAATTGCAGGATGATTATGGTTGTTTTCGGATTGGGCGGCTTCGTTTTTGATGGAAGAAACACCGCTTCTTTGCTGCAGTGTTGTAACGAAACTAAAACCCTGAAAACCCCAATACGCGGCGTTTGGTTTATATACGGTTCAACAACGGGTCTAGGGGTCTTTGGTGATAGCGGTTAAGTACGAGTTAAATAGATGTAAAAAGGGCCCAGTGATAAAGGCAACTACCGGCAGCGTAGCAAGCGCTGGATGACATGAGATTCTAGTGCAACTAATATGAATTTTGCAGAGAGGGAAGTTTTTTTATATATAAATTTTATATATTATATTTAGGGAATAGTATTTAAAGATTGGAATGAATATTATTTTAAAATTATATTATTTTAATAAATATTTATTGAAAAAATTAAAATATTATATTTTTAAAACATGAATTAAGGTGTTTTTTT